CTTAAATTATACACAGATGCTGCGCCTTCCGTTGGTTTTGGGGGGGTGTTTAATGGTCAGTGGTTTGCTAGTGCATGGCCAAATGAACTGCTATCTGTACCCGTTAATACCATGTCAACTGCTCTGTTGGAGTTGTACCCTATCGTGATGGCTTGTATTTTGTGGGGTAAGCACTGGTCAAGGAAACAAATTATGTTCTTCTGCGACAACGAAGCAACTGTCAATATTATTAATAAGGGACGCTCCTTTGTTCCATTTATAAACCATTTTATTAGGCGCCTTACTTGGTTATCTATAATGGGTAACTTCAATTTTCGGGCTGCTCACATTCCTGGCTTAAATAACCAAATCGCTGATTCTTTGTCTCGGTTTGAATTTCAGAAATTCCACCTCCTGTGCCCGGAGGCAGCACCATCCAGCCTGGTCTGTCCCTCTTTCAGCCAAACCGTACTAGACTAGATATGACCTTTCAATCGTATTTGCACTCTGCAGCTCACTACATGCGTAATGGTCTGGCTAAAACTACATTCAAAATGTACAGCTCTGCTTGGTCTCACTTCAGTTCTTTCTGTGCTACATTCTCCGTGGCTGTACTACCGGTTAATGTTTCATATGTTAGTGCTTTTATAGTCCACTGTTATGAATCAAGAAAAATGCAGCCTTCAAGCATCAAAAGTATGGTCGCCGGCATCCAATTCCACCTGCGCTGCTGGGATCCATCTACCATCAGCTTACTAGGAAATCCATCGATTCGTCTCCTGTTTAATGGCCTCAAAAAAGAAAAACCTCAAGGCAACGATCAACGTCTCCCCTTCACGCTCCCACTTTTGCTAAAGTTAATATCACGTTTAAGAGCAGGATGCTTTGGGTCTTATACTGATTTAATGCTTGAGTCTGCTTTGCTCACCGCTTTCTATGGTTTTCTCAGAGGTGGCGAATTTACCACACGCACTGATATTTTTAATCCATCACAAGACCTCACAATTTCTGATGTAACCATTTATTCTCACTACTTCACCGTTTATCTCAAGCATTCTA